TGAAGAGGAGATCTATATGCACCAGCCTGAAGGGTTCGTGGTACAAGGAAAAGAAGATTCAGTTTGTAGACTGAAGAAGAGCTTGTATGGTCTGAAGCAAGCTCCCAGACAATGGTACAAGAAGTTTGATAATTTCATGCAAAATGCTGGATACAACAGATGTCAGGCATATCACTGTTGCTATGTCAGGTACTTTGACCATTCCTATATCATCATGTTATTGTATGTGGATGATATGCTTATTGTAGGCGCTAGCATCTATGAGATCAATAATCTCAAGAAGCAGATGTCAGAGCACTTTGCAATGAAGGACTTGGGAGCGGCAAAACAAATCCTTGGCATGAGGATTTTTAGAGATCGAGTCAAAGGCACTTTGAGACTTTCACAAGCTGAATATGTGAAAAAACTACATGAGTAAGGTTCCTTAGGCTTCAACTATTGGCTCACTCATGTATGTCATTGTCTGCACTATACCAGATATTGCCCATGCAATGGGAGTTGTGAGCAGATATATGAGTAATCCAGGGAAGGAACATTGGGAAGCTGTAAAGTGGATTTTGAGATATCTAAAGGGCTCTTCAGAAACCTGTTTGTGTTTCTCAGGAAAGAGCTTAGAGGTACATGGTTATGTTGATGCAGATTTAGCTGGAGACATTGACAGTAGAAAGAGTACTACAGGTTATGTTTATACTCTTGGCGGTACTGCAGTGTCATGGGGCTCTAATCTACAGAAGACAGTTTCTTTGTCCACAACAGAGGCTGAGTATGTTGCAGTGTCAGAGGCTGCTAAGGAGATGATATGGCTGCAGAGTTTCTTGGCGGAATTGGGTAAAGAGGTTCAGAAAGGCACTCTCTACAGTGATAGCCAGAGCGCCATATTCCTAGCTAGAAATCCAGCATTTCAATCCAGGACCAAACAAATTCAGATCAGGTATCACTTTATTCGATCATTGTTAGATGATGAACAGTTGCTACTTGAGAAAATTTGTGGAAGCAAGAATTCTGCTGATATGTTGACCAAGGGTGTCACACTTGAGAAACTGAAGTTGTGTTCGACTTCAGTTGGTCTTCTAGCTTGGAGACAGGGGTTTTGAGTTGCAGAGGTGGAGGATATCATGTTTGAGAAAAAAAAAGTGTACAACAAGCGAATGATGCATACAGTGAGCACGGTCAGTGTCCCAGTCTCCAAGTGGGAGAATTGTTAGGTTATGTGGAGCCCGGTCCACTACATACAAATTGAGCAATTTTTTTTGCATCTTAGGAAACCATTTAAATAAGTATTTTTTAAATGTTTCCTTTCTTCTATTTGACTGCTACTTGCATGAATTGCCTTTACCGCTTTCCCGCCACATTGATTGATTTCTTAAATTAATGCAGAAGAGGAATTTTTGTTGGGCTTCCTTTTTATGCTTTGATTAATTCCTTAATGAGTGAAATTAAACAAAGGAAAAAAAGCATGCTACAGCTACCTGTATGGAAAGCTTCAGGTCCCTGTTTGGAAGGCTTTTGCTTGGCTTGCAAATAAAAGGCGGAGAAGAGTTACAGCAAATATAGATTGCATGACACTTGCTCTCCCTCTCTTCTTCATGTATTTGGCTTACGGTAGTAAGAGGAGAATCAAAAAGGTGTTGTTCCCGATTGTCTTTTTCCTCGGTGTGAATCTCGGAGAGGGAGAGAGAGAATGTTTTTCTTGTAACAATCGATATGATCGACGGTGTGTAATCCTCAAATTAATAAAATCCTCTGCAGCTCCGTGGACGTAGGCAATTTGCCGAACCACGTAAATCTTGTGTCGCCTTTTTTCTGGCAATTTTTCTCGATCTATTTTTCGCTTTATTACCGTCGTTTTTCATAACACATGCATCAATTGCTGGACACCATTATAATATCTGTATGCCAATGCTTATACATGTAATATTTTATTTGCTAAGGTGTTGTAGATATAATATTTTAATTTATATTGCTTAATTTTTATATCACTAATGCACCCAATTATTCAAAAATATCTTATAATATAGGGATCACTCTAGGTTCGCCAAATGAAAGTTTTGTATTATCGTTCATCTTACAAAAAATATATTACTTATAAAAGTTATAAACTTTGTAACCAAAGATGTGAACGCTATTTAATGAGAGGAGAGAGCTCAATATTTGAGAATCTTATAGCACGATATATCAACTATAGGCATAGGATCACCACGGTTAAACAATTGACTTGTGAATCATAGGGTATTATAATATTTTTCATCGCCTATACCTTTTGCTTGACAGGTTCTTGAGTTGCCCGACTGAGTTGATTTCTATCTGCCTTCATTTATGTACCAGTAAGCTCTCTCTTGGATGCCAGTCAGATCTTGAGTGGAATTTTTGGTCGGCTTTCGGGCGGCCGATAAACTTGCTTGATTATTGTTCTTTGTCAATCTTTGATGGTCTTTGGAGGAGTTGTTGAGAGAGCTTTGCATTGATATTTGTTAGATTATGGGAGGTACTAGACCTTTATTCAGTCATTTTTTCAGAGGGATCGCTGTGGATGCCTGTCCCTTGTCGGCCTGGATATCCTTTTGGTCGACTGACTATCAATCAACTGGACAGCCTTTAGCCAGTCATATTCGTGAGGCCTTATAACTTTTCAGCATGACGTCCTCATTATATTTCTTTTGATCTAGACCATTAAATTATCTCAAAATTCGTGTTCACACATTTATATATATATAAATTGTTTATATATATATATATATATATATAATATTGGGGGATATTTACATACATAGCATTCAAAACGTTGAGATTTACATATTTCACACAAAAAATTTAGTATTTAAATAAAAAAGTAGAGTCTCAATTTTTGTCATTCCCTTCACTAGGCGACTGTCTTGCCGCCAACTGTGTTGTACCATCGCACCATTCCTCCTCTGCTTTTCTTTCGCCGCGTACTTGAAAAAATGATTCTCCTTCGTGACGCATACGACTTGAAAATGGTTCTCGACGACCCCAAATCCTCTTGTATGTACGTCATATTCGACCTTTGTGACAATGAATTTGTTGCAACACACTCTAATTCATGTCAGACCTCTTCACTCTGCGAAATTGAAATTGGCAGCAGATCCAAATCCTCACCTCCTTTCCTGCCATCGGGATTCTCTGGAAGATCTCCCTCACCTGTTTCCACAACCAAACACAAAGTAGACTGTCAAGGCAAGATTCCTTCTCGAATGACAGCTCTCCAACATTTTCCAACTTCCATTGACGATCGATATGATACCAATAATTTGGAAGAGGACAGGGAAGGTAAGAAGGAAACGGAGCACATGAAGACGGTTTTAATGAGGTTCAGAGACCATGTTATGTGTATAGATAATAGTGAAGGCGATGCATGGCTCAATTTGATAAAGCCCTTCCTATAGCACCTTTATGTGGCCATGTTGAAATGGGGTATAGGAGCACCAAGGTATCAGTGGGAAATGATGAACTCTCCCTAGGAAATATCATAAACCTTTCTTTTCGACAGCGAGAAGACTTGGCCACAAGAGCAAGAGCGAAACAAAAGGAGTACTTTTATTGAGTTATTAGCATATTGATATATAGATGAGAAATTTACATACATAACACCCAAAAAAAAATTATAATTATATATTCCATACAAAAAGTTTAGTATTTATAAAAAACACACTCACAATATGTCTAATAACTAAAGAGTCAAAGTTCTGTTAAGCTCAAAAGGAAGTTACAATTCTGAGATGAGGGGCATTATACAGGTCCCCTGCAGCAAAAAAATAAGAGAGGGAGTGGAAGAGTGGGACTACCCACCACACTTGGACAGCAAATTGGTAGGTCGATTACCTTTTCTATAGATGAAATTAAAATTAACATTTAACTGAGTCATTATGTTTTGAATCAATTTGATCCACCTGAGGATATGCCAAGAAGTGTTACTATGTTCAACGAGGGCAGCCATGAGCAAGGATGAATCGACTTTAATCTGTAGTGAAGACCAATGGTTAAGGATAGCCAATTTGAGAGCCCAATAAACGACCACAATTTCAGTCTCAAGAACATCCTTCGCAGAAATAGGAGATTAAAAATATAATAGACATCTACGCTAGTGATCTCTGAATACACCTCCAATAACGGCCCCCTGACAAGAGAAGCTGTCATCTGTGTTCACTTTGACTGTTGGGTAGGTAACCACAGAGAAGGTAGGTGGGTCAGATACATTCCTTGTGTTTAGAATATTGGGGAACTTCTTATATTGAATGAGTTTACTGACAAAAGCTTGACAATTCACAGCCACCTGCTGTGCAGTGAAGGATTTATCCTCAAACTTTACTTGGTTTCTGGCCATCCATATAAACAAAGCAGTAACAATTATACGAACTCCCAGCCACTCCTAATGTGCCTAACAATTCAAGTACGACCTTAAGGCTAAACTGTGTCAGAGGAGGTTAGAACCCTAACCTGAGCTGTCTTACCCTGAGGATGCCAACCACAAGCCGAGGTACTCGGCACCCATCTATATATATATATATATATATCCATAAAAAAAAATCTTACATAGCATGGGCACTATCTCTATATTTTTTTATATCATGCAATTTTTTCACATTAGAGAAGAAAAATGCGCCACGTCGGGTAACAATTTTATATTATAAAGAAAGGTGCAAAACACCATCAACATAGCAAACCTTAATTAATATTTATTTAATCTAACGATTTATTCTAACAAGTCATTCATTCTCAACCGCTTGTTGGCCAGACTTAACATGACCGTACAATCAATAAAAAATAACCATTCCTCTCCCCCTTAGTGCAATAGGCAACGGTCGAATTTCACCCTTCAAGCAAATTCTGCCGCCATTCCCTCATAGCCTTTGCACAAAAACTGTTATCATAGGAACCCAAACCAAAAAAAAAAAAAAAAAAACAAAACAAAACAAAAAATTTCTTAAGCATCAATCAACCCCTCATCCTTTTTTTCTTCTAAATTGCATTGCCCTCTTTATTTCCATTTCCTTGTTGATTCCCACTCTTCATCAAAAGTTGTCAAATCTTTTAAAAAATGAGTTTTTCATTTCTCACACTTCTTCATCTCCCCCTCCTCATTTCTTATTTGGCATTTGTTGATGGAGCCATTGCTAAAGGCTCAAAAGCAAATGATCTGATCAATGCTCCCCTCCTCACCTCAAAGTTGCCCGTAAACCCGAGCCGTACACTCATTGTTAGCAAATCAGGAAGGGATAACTTCTCCTCCGTTCAGGCCGCGATCAATGCCGTCCCAGAAAGAAATTCTGAGTGGATCATAATCCATGTGCGAGCTGGAGTTTATCGGTACAACGATTCTGAAGCCTTGTTGCCTCAATTGATAACTCATTATTATAGAACAATGAAAAATATTAAATTTTTATTGACAGAGAGAAGATTGTGATTCCAGAGAACAAACCATACATTTTTATGAGGGGTAATGGCAAAGGCAAAACTTCAATTGTGTGGAACGATAGCTTGCAGAACAATACCAAGTCTGCCACCATCACTGTCAAAGCTGATAACTTCAACGCATTTGGGATTAGTTTTAAGGTAAAATCATTTTCCTTGATTAATCGAGATATAGTTAAATACCGAAATGATTGCTAACTTTAAGTACTTTATGCGGCAGAATGATGCTCCTTTAGGTGCTGCTAATACACCCTTCAACCAATCCGTGGGAGCGAAAGTGACTGGTGACAAAGTCGCCTTCTACCACTGTGGCTTCTACAGTAATCATAACACCCTCTTTGATCACAAGGGGAAGCATTTTTACGAGAGCTGCTACATCCAGGGGAATATCGATTTTATCTTTGGCCGTGGCCAATCCATTTTCCAGGCAAGTTGTTGATTTACAATTTCAAAATTCTTTGATTAATTAATAGCTCAAATTAATAACACGGTGATTATATATACAATATATGAATTTTTTGAAAAAATATTACATCAAGACTCCTGATGTATTCGAAGTCTAATGGTTGGGCGCCACGTATCAAGTGAGCTCTACCGTTTTTAACACCGGCCAGTACCGGTGTATTACGGTGGGGTTCACTTGACATGTGACGCTCCACTATTAGACGCAAACTGCGTTAGGAGTCCTGATCATTTTGTAGGAATAGCAAGGATATTTATTGTCAGTCATTTGTGAAGCAGAGCTGCGAGATCTTCGTCCTCCCGGACCGGCGAACCGCCATCCTTGGATCAATAACGGCCCAAAACCGGCAATCTCCCAATGACAGCAGCGGCTTTGTGTTTATAAAATGCAAGGTATATGGTGTTGATGAGGTATATTTGGGTCGAGCCAAAGGGGCCCATTCACGGGTCATTTTCGCCAAATCCTACCTCTCGAAGACCATCACCCCAGCAGGCTGGACCAACTGGAGCTATGATGGCACCACCGAGTAAGCTTCCAGATCCTTAATTAAGCTATGATTACAGATTTATTAGAAGCTTAATGATGATTTTATGGGGATCATTATTATTATTTAATCACAGCCATTTGCTATATGGGGAGTATTCATGCTATGGTCCAGGCGCGAACCCGGTTCACCGAGTGCATTGGTCACGCCAGCTGACCTCGGAGGAGGTTGCTCCCTTCCTGTCCATCGATTTCATCAACGGGAAGGACTGGCTGCTAGCCTATTACGACTAATCAACTATTCCTTAGTTTGATGTTAATCTCTACAGATTCATGTAAAGTTATCATTAGAATTTTTGTTGTTATTGTTGTTGTTGTTATTATTATTATTATTATTATTATTTGGCGGCATGCCATGTAATGATGTCTTGCTTAATTTATTTGCCATTAGGCTCAACTTTTTGTGAATTCTCACAATTGCTTGTTAAGAATTAGTATTACATTAATATTAAGTTCATTATAAAACTATCTTCCATGTTTTGTGTTTTATTTGTTTCAAGTTGCCATATTGCCCTTTACAAATACGAGAGGTTACGTTTCCTGTGTTCTTTAGGTACGAAAACGCTAATTTTTTTAGAGGCACATGTGCTTTGATGAACATAAATATTTGATAAATATAATCTAAAGATGAATCAACATAAATATACCATTGGAGTATCCCAAGTACTTAATTTCTTGGGCTTTATGGAATGACAATGGATGCATCAAATTTGAATCTTCCGACTTCAAAATCTCACTGGGCAAGCCACTGCCGACTGTCAAGAACAATTTCGGACAACCTGATTGTTTTAAGGCTGATTTCCCAATTTTTGATGATACATATTTAACTCTCGTTTAGGTTTCAGACCTTCCCAAAAATGATAAAGGCCACTACATTTGAGTAAGGGAGCAAAATGTGTTAATTCCATTTTGTTAATTACAACTGTAACAGGGAATAATTCATTAAAAAAAAAACATAATATCAATGGTCGCTATGGAACAATATATTTTTTGGGCGAAAACCTCATCAAAGGATATTTTCATTGATTTGTTTTAGTTTTTTATATAGATAATAAGTAACAAACAATCTATCATTATTAACATGTTGGATAGTTATTTGTCCTTGGTGAATCAGGTTTCGAGAGTTAGAGACGAGTGAATGAGAGAAGGAAGGGAGAGTAGAAAAAGTCTAGGATCTTTGTAGGTAGAATTAGGAAAATGCCCCTTTATTCATATTTCTGTCATATACTTATAGAGGCGTGTTTTGTACAATTACATAAGTGAGAGAACGGTTATAAAAACCATTTTTAATACCATTAAGACTCTAATCAATTGGATAGATTTTATGTCATATTTATATTACAATCTTAATTTCATTATTGGCGGTAATTGGTCGGTTGGTTGGCTTGAAGTCAACTGACTGAGGCTACCGACCGAGTGGTATCTGTGCCCTCAAAAGTACACGTTGGTTGATCGCCATGTTCAAACATATGTTGATCTTGCTCGGTATCTTTTTTGGCACATTCAACCAGAACAATCGGTTGTGATGTGGTCATTTAGTTCGGATGCGGGGTTAGTCGGTTGAATGTTATTAGCTGACTTTTTTTGAAGTAAATCATTGCTCATTTTCTATTCAAATCAATTCTTATAGGGCTCATGTCTCGCCTACCTGGTTGGTTGGTCACCTCGGTCGGATCTCCCAATCTTGCAAGGTCTTAAACAGATCTTATCGCAGCCCACGAGGGGTATCCGATGAACTTCCTTCTGAGATGATTCATGCCCAACTTTCGGTGTGTCTTGCTGCTACTAAGCTGAGAACCATCTGTGGACCTATCCCGAGTTTGAAGACAGAGCTTCATGCTCGGCCCTAAATCATCGGTTGATTGCTTACCTTGAAAGGAGGTCCTTTCATCTTGGTCATTTGTTTTCTTTGAGACTCGTGCTAGTATTTTTTGTATATACATATTAGTTCCCCAAATTTTCCTGCTATGACAGAAAAATTATCAAACAATCATTAGCAATAATTTTGTTAATTGATTGAACACATGACTTCCCTTAGGATTTCGTGTCCATTTGCTCTATAAAAATATATGGATTGGGCCTTGTATCAGTTTTCATCAATTTTTCTTTCATAACTGAGGTGTGTCATGGCTGACAAATTAAACTGGATCATGTGGATCCTGAGAGGCTCACTAGGGTAGGATTTCAGATTCCCTCTTATGTAAAGAAGAGGAAAGTGGGGATGAAGGAAAAACGAGTTAGGCTCAAATCTGACCTGATCGACGTATTAAACTCATTTGATGATGCAAAAGGTCACTCGTTAAAGAGGCCTCACCTATGAGCCTCAAAGTCTGGATCATATTTGGTTAGTAATGTGTAGAAAAGAACGCTTGAATTCCTTTATATTTTACACATTTTTATGAATAGAATTGCACTTTAAAGAAATTTATTTTCATGATTTTCTTATAAGTACAACAATTGTTAGATGTGGAGCAATGTGGTGGAGACTTGAAGCAAAGGAGTTTACATGTGACTGGCGCCTAGACTCCAGTCTCAGCCTGACAACCCAAGAGGTTGGTGCCTAGGTGCCAACCACTAGGGACCTAAGCACCGCGATACTAGCGCCTAGACACCAGACTCATGGGCACCTAGGCTCCCAAGCCTTGCTTTGCAGACAAATAGTGGTGTGTAGGCGTCAGCCTCTGGGAGCCTAGGCGTGAGCAACTACCTGAGATAGTTTTGGGAAGTTCAATCACATGTCATGGGGAGTTATTTAGACGTCCAAGGAGGTTTTGTAAGCAATGTTTAACACTCTATTTATGTTTTTATGTAATATCTATGAAAGGCTTATTGAAGGATTAAGGGATATAAAGTTTATGTTAGGAATTTGAAGAGGACTTGAGTTGTAAAGTGAGGAGAGTCTTCAGGGCAACAACGAGGAGCTAAGAGATCTTTGGTGGAGGATTTTTTAGAGCATTTTAAAGAAGAAAAAAAATAAGTTTTGTGTGTTTTTTTTATTTTATTTCTTTTTACATAATCATTTAGTGGAATTCTCTTGTTTTCAAAAAATCTTTGTGGTATGTTCTTCATGTTTTTTTAGCAGTACTCTTTACCTTACCTTGTAATGTTTGAGTAGGATGTATAGGAGTGCAAAATATTTTTAAAATTATTTTAAAGTATTTAATGTGATAATTAACCTTTAGAACTTCATTTAATTTTATTTCAGGTCAAGCGAATCATTAAAATGTGTTGTGATCCATAACGACTCAGGAGAGCTATGATAGAATCAACTAGGTTAGTTACAATGAACTATAGGCTATGGTGCAAGTACTTTGTACGGGAATGTAAATGTTAGGGACATATTGTTTGATGGGTTCAAAATGGGATTTAAGGAATTGAAGTCAATTTAACCAATCTTCTTTATGCACTTGGTAAAGGCTAATGAATAGAGTTGCTCCTATTTCTCACTAGCCATATTTATAATTAACACTTTACATTTTCTATGCTCCACTCAACTCATTACATGAGAAGGTAACTTAATAACTTGATATTCACTATTTCAAATAAGTTATGGAGGATTTCTGTAGGATTTAACATTTAAAATAGTTTGTAACTCAGTAGGAGTTGTTTATAGAACTTTTACCTAATCTCAATTATATGCTAAAAACAAAAACCAGTAAGCTGGAACTTTTCCTAAGTCTAATTCCCTAGTTTCCTTTGATATTGATATTTCAGACTAAAAAATCTGATATTTCTGATATGACACGTACATATGCATGAGCCGCTAAAGTGTGAGTGCACCTGGAAACAGGTATCAATTTTTTGGCATCGTTGTCAGGGACCCACAATGTATTTAAATTACTGGAAGTTCAGTTGAACCTATAAGTCATAGATTTGGAAAACTTTAATGCTAAGTGTTTTTATCTAATTGTGTTCTTGATTGTTTAAAAACAAAATTCAAAAAATATTTTGGAGTGTTGTTTTTAAATTATTTGTGTGTTAACCTATTTGTGTGTTTGAATTTAACTTTGTAGATTCTTTAGTTCGTGTAAATGTAGTTCAAGATCAACTAGACTTAAACCATACAATTTAGAGCTAGAGAGAAATATTAAAAGAATTATAAAATAGAAAAGAATTCAAGAACTTGTAGAAGAAATGGTGAATAATCCAAAAAATAATCTTGAAAATCATTACCACTTAAAGATGTACATAGACCATTAAAGGACAATGCTAATCTTATGACAGATGAATTTTACATTCAAACACCTGCCATATAAGTTAATATAATCAAATTGAAGCCCGATATCATCCAAATGGTGGAGAACAAATAGTTTTGGTGAACCCTATCTAAAGATCCAAACTTATAACTAGCAAGTTTCTTAGAACTCTACACTACATTCCACCATAATGGTGTATCCAATGACACTGTTAGACTTTGGATTTCTCCTTTTTCACAGAAAATTGATTAAATTCATTAGCACCCATATCAATAAGGACATGAAGTGACTTAGCCAAGAAATTTCTACCAAAAATTTTTTTTCCATAAAAAAATGGCTTAACTAAGGAATGATATTACTTCATTTTGCTAGCATGAAAGTGAGTCAATTCATGAAGCTTAGGAATGATTTAAGGAATTTCTTAAGAAGTGCCCCCATCATATGTCACCTGATTGGCTGATAATTTAGAATTTTACCAATGATTTAGCAGGATCCCTTAGGTCAATTATTGATGCTGCAGCTGATGGATTGTTTATGTAGAAGCCATTTTATGAGGCTTATTCTCTGATAGAGGAGATGACTATAGAAATTTTTCAATGGTCTTCTGAGAGAGTGAATCTCATAATGGTAGAAAATGTACATGACACTAACGTGCTGTCAATTTTAATTTCTCAGGTTGTTGAAATTTCTAGAAAATTAGACCAATTTGGGATGAACCATCCTTAAGGTCCACTAGAAATTGAGGAAAATTCATTCAGACGACTATTTGAAGCTAACACTTCATATTTTGAGATTTTAAATGTGATAAATAATAAACCAAATAACCTTATTCCAATTTCTATAACCCCGGCTAGAAGAACCACCCTAACTTTAACTAAAATAACAATCCTGGTGGGGAAAGCCAACAATGAGGGAATAATAAAACAAATCCTATTTAGAATTGGAACAATTAAGGTAGTCCAAACCTAAGACCTTTTTATCCTCTAGGATTGAACTCTAACTCATAATTTAAGGAGAAGATGTTGTCTTCTGAAGAAG